TTTTTTTTTTTTTTTTTTTATAACTTTAATTTGAAATTTTACTAACTTGTCTTCAAAAGAAATGAAAATGGAAAAAGTATCAATTTTTTTTTACTTTCTATGTGTATACATAATACTTTAAGTAAATTACTAAAAAATAAAAAATATATATATATTTTTTTCATAGTAACAAACCTCTTCAAATATGGCATACGGAAACGAATTCTCAACATGAAGGAAGCCATGTTACACGAGTAACGGATGATGATATAAAATCTATTGTAGTTGAAATTAATTCTCCAGATATTAAATCTACCTATATAACATGTCCTTCTCAATTAAATCGTACACTTGGAATTAAATTACCGATTCTTGTTCTTATAGTAAAAAACTTGAAAAAATATTTTACTTTTGAAGTTCAAATTATGGATGATAAAAATATCAAAAGAAGATTCAGAGCTTCAAATTTTCAGGTATTTTTTTTTTTTTTTTAAAAAGATTTATTTTTTTAAAAAAAAGAAGTTGGTTTTTAAAACTTTTTAAACAAATTAAACAAATTTTTTATTTTTTTTAAAAAAAAAACAAATAAGTCATCTACACGGGTTAAACCTTATATTTGCACCATGCCTTTAAGAATGGATGAAGGTTGGAATCAAATTCAATTCAACTTGGCAGATTTTACACGTCGTGCATTTAGTACAAATTACGTAGAAACTTTGAGAGTACAAATACATGCGAATTGCAGATTGAGAAGAGTTTATTTTGCTGATAGAGTTTATGCTGAAGATGAGTTACCACCCGAGATGAAGTTATGGTTACCTGAAGAAAAGGAAGATGAAGAACAAAATCAAAAATAAGGGAACGTTTTTTTTAGATAACTTTTGTGAAAAAGCCTATTTTATTTTTTAGCATTCACTTATTTAGATTATCAATAAAAGTTAGTTATATTATTACTAGCAAAGGAACGTAATAGGTATTTTAAATGTTTATGTAAAAATGAACCAATAAAAAAAATCCATCAACAGATCACAGATCTTCAAAGACCATCAGCAGACCAACCAGCATACTGCACTTACTCTCACATTCAAGATAGGTGCAGATATTTTCAAGATACATAATAGATATCCAATACATGTAAGATGTGTATTTTACATATAGTATACATTATATCTGTTCGATTATCTCTTCAACACCTATCACACGATACAATTATAATTTTAGTCAAATTATGTTTGTAAATTTTTTTACTATTTTTTTGCATTTAAAAAAAAAGTGATATGACATGCCAGACATGATTACTCGTTAAAAGCTAAGAAAGGTTAACTAGCATCAATAATGTACTTTTAAATTATAATTAAAAAATTTAAATTTTTTCAGTTTTTTTTTTATTATTTCACAACATAAATCAATAAAATTTCAAAATGTTCAAATCTCAAAATGTTTTAAAATCTCAAAATTTCAAATCTCAAAATGGTTTAAATCTCAAATTTCAAAATGAGTTAAATCTCAAATTTCAAAACCCCCAAATTCCAAATTCCCAAATTCCACATATTCCAAAATTCCAAAATTCCAAAATTCTAAAATTCAAATATACTTTATAATTTATCTATATTTTCTTTTTTTAAAAAAAAAAGATTGCAAAATTTTCATTTTAAAAAATTTTTTTTTTTTTAAAAAAAAAAATTGAACTACTTCTCTCTTTTCTGCAATTAATTAAAAATAATTATTACAAATTTAAAACTTTTTAAGTACAAACATCTTATCAAGTTATTATGAAGGTTAAAAAAGTATAGATTTAATCCGAAAACTGAAAATTAATTCATAAATTCTATAATTAGAAAATTTAACAAACTAATACTTTAATGATTTTTAATGGGTTAGTTTGGCCCGAAATCCTCCTCGTATCATACTCGTAAAAATCTGGCTTTTAAGTTGTATATAGAGAAATTATTAGTGTAAATCTTAATATTTTTAAAATAAAGAAATCACATGGTTTTTTTTTTCGGAAGAATTAAATGACACGTTTCGCAACACGTGCAAATGCTGACAGAATTTTATGATGTACTTTGTATATTGTATATTGTATAACAGTAATTTTATTTATTATATTATTACCTTTTTATTATCTACCAATCTATCAATATTATATTATCATATATATATTATATATTATTATCGAAAAGTTTTTATAAGTTTCTTAAAATCATCAACGAGTAAGAAATTAACAAGTAAGAAAAAATAAGCGAGAGAAGATTATAATCGTTTTAGGTGATATTTTATCTATTTGTTATACATTACAAAAAAAAAAAAAAAAAAAAAAAAATTTCTCACCCTTTATTAAGTTGTAAACAAAGACACTTCTTTTTTTCCAAGTAGAATTGGGGCAATAGCATCATCTCCTTTAAGCAAAATCATTTAAAACACGAAAGTTTCTTGAAGTACAAGTTACCGAATTAAGTCAAGAGTATATACGGAATAAAATATTTCTTTTATATAATTATTTTTTTTTTTGGGGCGGCTTTCGCGTTTACCTAATTTAAATAATTTTTTTTGAGAAACGATAGATTTTCATTTAGTTCGTAAAAAGTGGAGATTGTTTAGATTGAACTCCTTGATTGTACAACTAATTAATTTCTAAAAAAATATTCATTGATAAAATCATTAAAATTTTTTTTTTTTACAAAATTATATATAATATAATATAATATAATATAATATAATATTAATATTATATATTGTATAAAAAAAATTTGTTAATATTTTTCTTACAAGAAACTTTAAAACGAAAAAAATAAAGGTTTCAATACAAAGAATTTTAAAAAGTTGAAACTGCGTTTGAGATAACGTTTAAGAAATTTTAAAGGAGGAATCGGAAATATATTATTATAGTTTCTTCATTTTATTTTGGTTAATTCCCTGCACTCGGAAAATCTGTTTGTAGAGGTATGTTTCAAATTCATTGTATTGTAACACAGTGACAAAACCGCGGACGAAATGTGAGTAAAATATTGTTTTTAAAGGGAATTTTTTTTTTTTTAGATACATTAAACATTACAGTACATTGAATATATTATTATGATACCATGATACATTAAATATAACATATTATGAATCATTGTTAATATAATTTATAACAAAAAAAAAAAAGTGGTTATGACTCTTAATCATTCGACGATGAGTCAAAAAAAAGTTTTGAAAATTTCTTTGTTTTTCAATTATATAAAATTTTTTATAGTATGATGAAGAGATCCAATTGTTACCAAAAATAAAAATATTTTTTTACATTGGTTTCACAAAATAAATTAAGCACAGACTGTTACTGCACGTATTACATACATACAGATTACAGAACAACACATTCAATTACACTATTTTTATTCATTACACTATTATATCNTTTTTTTTTTTTTTTTTTTTTTTTTTTTCCTTTATACTAATAGTATATATAGATAGCCATCGGGCGCAAAACGAACTAAAAGAAAAATATAAAAAAAAAAACCTCCTTTATTATACTAAAAAAATATAGACTAAAATATAAAGTATCCAATTTTTTTTCCAAAATATATATATATTGGAAAAATATTGGACATATAGAGAATATTATAAAAAAATAAAATTTTTTTTTTTTTTACATTACATTAATAATAAACGGGAGCTGGTCACCCAAAAAAAGAAAACCAAAATTTTTTTAGAGAAAAAGTTAATAAATTTTTAATAAAAAAGTAAAAGAAAGAAAATTAATAGTGTTCAGTTCTCCAAAAAAAAATATATATATATAATTTACTACGAATGTTAAAAATGTCAGAATATAATAATAATAATTCTTCAATTACAACCACTCGTGTCACTAAACACACGTCGAGACCTTATCACCATGATTATACTTCGTCTATTGAAGAAACTGAGGAGAGTGATAGTTATACTTCAAGAAGGTCAAGACGTTTATCAGAGAGTAGTCATAGAAAAAATATAAGTTCCACTTATGGTCTTTCTTATTCTTCGAATAGAACAATTGAAACAAAAGAAGAAGAGAATAATGGTTTGACTTCTAGAAGAAGATATACACGTAAATGGGAAACTGATGACGAATTATTTAAACCAAATCATGTAAGTTTCACGTTTAAATTTTTTTATTTATGCAAAATTTTTAAATTGGTTATTATAAAAAAAAAAAGAATCCTTTTATTCCTCTAATTTGGAAATTATTTATGAACTCATTTTTCGTTATTAATTAATTAATTAATTAATTTTTTTTTTATCATTATTGATAGCGTAATCAATTACCAACAATGTCACAACAGCAACAACATTCTCCAATCAATAATTATCCCGATGAGGCCGCAACAACTAGGTCACTTTTATACCTTCTTAATAAAGAACGTACAAAACGTCGTGAATTACAAAAAGTTCATGATACTACCGCTCAAGCTTTAAAAGAATTACAACAAAATCATCAAGATGATTTAATTGCTCTTGAAAGTGATATAAAAACTCTCAAGGATGCTCTTTTAAAAGAAAATAAGGTTAATTCTCAATTAAAAAAACTTTTACATGATTCTACTGCTAAATTTACTGATGAAATGCAATTGTGGGCAAATAAAGTTGTTTTGGTTGAAGAACAAGGTAGAGAATTACAAAAAACTTTTCAAGAAACAATGGAACAATTAGAAAAGGAGGAAGAAGAAATTGTTAGATTAAGAAAAGAAAATCAATCTTTACGTGATCAATTGGCTGGTAAAACTATTGAACCTGCAAATTTAAGTCGTAGAAATCTTGAAGATGTAAGAAAAGTTGGTTCTATGGAAGATAGGGATGATTTATCAGTTTCCGCTGAATCAAAACAAGATTGTCTTTCTGATAATGAATCTATTATATCTACTTCAAAATTAAATGAATTAAAAGATAGAATTATTGAATTACAAAATGAATTAATAAATTCAAAAGAAAATACTCAAAAAGTTGAATCTTCTTTTCAAGAATTGGAAACTGAAAAAGCTTCTACTATAAAACAATTAGAAGAAAAACATAAGAAAAATGTTAGCCTTTTACGTGCTACTATTTCTCAAAAACAAAAAAGAATTGATGAATTGGAACAAGAATTACGAAAAGCGAAATTTAATGAACGTGAACGTGAAGAAAAATTATCTCATTTAAATCATAAATCTTCTCAACAATTCCCTCCTCCTCTATCTCCTAAATTACAACAACATCAACCTTTACAACAAGATGATGATGATGATGATGATCGTCGTATTCATCATCGTCCTGGTAACTTAATTAAGCGTAGGTCCGTCATATCCGAAAATTTTACCAAAGAAAGAAAAAATTCCATAACTAGTACAAATAGTGGAAGTATTGAAGGTACAAGCGTAACAGGTGGAAGTTTAGAAGATAAGGATGATATACAAAGTAGTATAATTGAATATAGAGAAGGTGAAGGTGAACAATCTGAAGTGTTTTCTGAAGAGGAGGAAGAAGAAGAACGTGACGATCAATCATCTTCAGTTTTTACAGGTAGCAATGGAAGTGAAAGTATACAAGATCAGAGTACGGAAAAATTTGTGAGATTAGAATTATCCTCAGGAAGGCAACAACATCATCAACATCGTAAAGGTGGTGATAATGATGAGGTCATGGAAGACGATGAGTTAGATGCAATTCTTTCAGATCGTGAAGATCGTTGTTTACCACTTATCGGTCATTATTCAGCTGCTGAATATACGGAAGATGAAGATTTTGATCTTGACAATTACAGATTAAGCAGAAGACCAAGTTTTGTAGGTAGAATTGGTGGGAATAAAATCGAAGGAAATTCAATGGTTATGGCATTAAATCATATCACTTCTAGTGGAAGAAAAAGTCGTTCTAGGGATGACGGAATACCCTAATATAAATTTATCATACGATTTCTGCAGAAACACTTATATTTGATATATGAGGTTGATTTGTATATATTAAGAGATATTCACGCTACATAACACGTCATTTTATAACATTTTAAAAAAAGCTGATTGCAGAATATATATATATATATTATTTTTATTTTTATTTTTTTTTTTGTAAATAGCATTTTATTGTGGTGGTAGCATATAGACAGTTTTTGGTTTTTGGAAAAAAGACATTTTTAGCCGCCACATGATCACATTATTACTATCCTTAAACCATCAACTTTCTTTTTTCCTGTATCATATGTTTTGTACTCGCTTGTAATTTTGCTTTTTCTTTCTTTCTTTTTTTTTTTTTTTTTTTTTTATAGGCTTTTTTGTTTTTAGAAAAAAAAATTTTTTTTCTGAACCTTTATTTGTCAAACATCAAAACTTTAATTTGTTTAATATAATTTCAATTTTTTTTTTTAATTGTAAATGCCAAATTCGGTTTTTTTTCCTTGCAATTATAACTATAAATACGAATAATTTTGGAACCATTAATGAAATTATGAAACGTTATTATTTTTAGAGAAAGTTCTTCGGACGAGAATATCTGTTTCGCTGATAAACGGTTATAATAATAGTTTATTTTTGAAACAGTATTTGATATGTTGATTCAATATTTCCATACCTGCTAAACAATGTTTGCATATGACTATGTTTGTTAGATTTTAAAAGAAAAAATGGGAAAAATTTTTGTTTGTGTAACATTTTTAAATGCCTGATGACTATTAAGGCGCTTTTTTCATCTGTTTATAGTTATTGTGTTAAATTAAAAAAACAAATATTTTATACTTTATTGGTTATGGTAAGTTACACATTCGGCTCACTATTAACAAATTTTTATATAAATAATTTGAAATAGAACGAAAAATTATTAATAATTTACTATCGATTTTTTCATTAGTACTTGGTTGTGATTCATATGGTACACAAATTCGTTTAGATAATTATAAAGCGAATTGATTGTGTCGTTATCCTTTCATTTAAAATTTTAAAAAAAAACCAGTTTCTTATGAAAATTAATTGTTTATCCTCTTTTTATTACTAATTCTCTTAATTAAAAAGTTTATTTTAAAAAAAAATAAAATAAAAATGCATAGATATACCTTACCCTATCAAAAACAAGCTCAAACAACTTGGTTATCTTTACGAATATTTCCAAACTCAACCTCAAAATTATTTAGAATATTTGCGTTATTTATAACTATAATACTCATCTTAGTTACATTTCAAAATTTACAAGGAAATAAATATTTTACTCCTACCAAACAAACTTTAAATTATAAAGGTAAAAAAATATCTACAGAAAATGACATTATAGTAGTTGTTGATGGAGAAAAACAAGGTTTAATTTTACAACCTACTTTTTGTCAACTATCAACTCATAAGAATGTTAATACACATGTAATAGTAACAGGTCAAAAACGTGGTTTAAGCAAAACACTTTTAACAAAATTAATAAATGAACAAAATTCTTCTTGTGAAGTGTTCATTTATGATTTAGATATTAAAACAAATGATAGAATTGGTACTTTAGAATTAGTTTTTCAAGAAATAAGTCATATGTTAAACCAACTTCGTCCAGAAGTTCTATTATATATTAAAGATCAAGATAATTATGCTATGCGTGGAGTTGAATCTGCTTTGATTGCAGCTTCCAATTTAGATGTTACAGCTATATCTGTACCGATTGAAGACACTAAACACTTGAATTGGTTAACACATTTACCGGTTGAAGCACTTAAATGTACGTATTTATTTTTATTTTTATTTTTTTTTTTTTAATAATTGTTTATTTATGCTAATTAAATTAAAATTATAAAAATAGATTGGAATACAGTTAAAATCCAAATACAAGTTATTACACAAGATCGCCCAGATTCATTGGCGCGTCTTATTCGGTCTCTTAAGTCTTCTCATTATTTTGGTGATGAAGTTCAACTTACAATTAATATGGATAGAGGAGCGGATCCTGTAACAAAAGAATTTTGTCACACTCTTGAGTGGCCTTTTGGACAAAAGAGTCTTCGTCATCGTATTGTGCAGGGTGGATTGATGGCAGCCGTTGTGGAATCATATTATCCTAGAGATGATAATGATTATGCTGTGATGTTAGAAGATGATGTTGAACTTTCTCCATATTTCTTTATGTGGACAAAATATAACATTCTCAAATATAGATATGGGCCTGATCGTATTCATAGTAATCGCATGTTTGGAATTAGTTATTATGGATCTAAAATTAATGAACTTTACTTATTGGGACGTAGACCGTTCGATCCTACTATTTCTCTTGAAGGTACAAATTATTCACCTCGTTCCCCATATCTTTGGCAAGTACCTTGTAGTTGGGGTGCTGTATACTTTCCTGAAATATGGCGTGAATTTCATGATTATTTCCCTGCAAGATTACAAGATTGGAATGGACCTAAATTACAAAATATTACAGTTCCTGAAGTTCGATCAAATAGATGGAAGAATTCCTGGAAAAGATTTTTAATAGAACTTGTGTACCTTCGTGGATATGTAATGCTTTATCCAAATTATGAAAATTTTGCAAGTTTTTCTACTAATCATGCTGAAGCAGGAACTCACATTCATCTTACTGAAGGGTCTAAACCAAACGATATTTTTGGTGTACCTTTAATGGAAGAGGATTTAGTATTATCTGAATTACCTGGAGGTAGTATGCCAAAATATGCGGATCTACCAATTTTAGATCTTTTAGGAAATGTCGTTTCAAAAGAAGAATTAATACAACGAGGAAAAGCTTTACATTCCGAAGTTTCATTATGTCCTCCGAATAATGAACTAACTTTTGATCCACAAGATATTTTATGTTTTGATGACGAAAAAAGAGAAACTGTCATTAATGAAACCGATGTTAGAAAGGAACATAGAAAAAAAATGTCTGAGGCGATCAACCTTATTTTAAATCATACTTTAGATGATAATGGAACAAAAATTGAGCCCGAAAAATTATTAAAGATCGTTGTGGAACTTTATAATTCATCAGCCACAGCAGTCACAGACGTACCAAGCTCGACCCCAATACAATCACTACCAACTGAAACAAATATGAAATTATAGCAGCAGTGAAACAATTAGTCATATAATAAGTGAGCGAGTGAGTGGGTTCTTAGAATCGATATTCGTCGAAATTCGAAATTCGGAGTCCACATATATCACGTAGCACGTGACAGTTGAATTTGACGAGTTGATTTGTAATATAAAAAGCAAAGTTGTATTTTAAATAATAGATTGAAAAAAAGACATTAATTTAAAGCATCATCTTTTTGTCATGTTTTTGACTTTTGTAAAATCATTTGTTTTTTTTCAAATGTATAATCTTAATATTTAATTTATTTATGAATTTTAAAAAATCCCATATACTTAATGTCTTAATATATGTATATGTATAATTAGTAATAAAAATAATCAGTATTTAAACCTTTTTTTTTATCATCAATAAATGCATGCTAAGAATGAACATATGCAAATTTTATAAACTTTACGGATAATTTTGAAAATTTCGGAAATTTATTAGATTTTTTTTTTTTTCAAGCGAATAAACTTGAAAATCTAATCAGATATTTTGAACAATCAGAAAACAATCCGAATTATTCACGGATCCCTAAAATGCTAAATATGTTTAATTCTATTATAAATCATATGATTAAAGAATAATTGATAAGCTCTTTATTGTTCGATCTAAGATCTAAGAGGCGCATAATATATCTAAACATGGATCCATTATCTTGATTATATAATTCATTATAAATGGAATTATCTAGAATGACTTATTATATAATATTCAACTAAAAGAAACAAACTAAAAAACTTTTTTGTAATCTAGTCATACTAGTAATAAAGCGAGATAATATATTTTAAAATATATATTTCAGTATATGAAACATAAAAAAGGATTATGTAAAAGCTTTGTTTGAATCCAGATTTGAAAACTTAAAAATAATATAGTGAAATCAATTTATTAGTTCTTTTAAATAAATTATATGTATATATATATATTTTTTATTTTAAAATAAATAGATTTAATAGTTGAACTTTTTTTCTTTTATTTTATAAATTTTTTTAATTTTTTTATTTTAATGAATTTTTTTAGATTTTTTATTTTAATTTTAATAAAAATTTCACTAACTTATTATATTTTAAGATATTACAATTTTAAAAAATTAATTTTATTAAAAAATTTTTTTTTTTGAATTTTACTATATATTTATTAGAAAATTAGAAAAATTATAAGTATACATGTATACAAATACTCTAATTTAATATAAAGTATTAATAAACTACTTATTATTCTAATTAAAGAACTTTACATATATATAATTAAGTTAGTTATTAAAATTATATAGATAAGAAAATAAATACTACTACTAATTCTTAGTATACAAATACTGTAGTTTAAGTAAAATAAATTAACAAAACTACTTTACCACTATATTAGTATTATTATATATTAATAAAAATCAAATAAAAGAAATATAATATATTAAATTCCCCTTACCTATTAAGTAAAATAGCAAGTTGGTAAAATCAGGTTGTATTTATTGAATTGTAAAAGGTATATATTTAGATCTTCTAGATTTTTAGACCAATTTAAAGGGTACAATCCAAATTTTAAAGAAAGATGAAAGTACTTTTTCTGAAGAAATACTATTTATTAATAGATATATTTAATATATTAATATAAAAAACTAGTGTAAAATAATATTAAATAGTATACTCAAATTTCACTTTTATGCTATTTAAATTTATATGAATACATCAGATTTAATAAATTAAATTTTTTTGTAAATTACTAATTACTAATTTAACTAGTTTTTAGTAATCAACTCAAATTAATAAAATTTAAAATAAATTTTACTAATTATATATATTATTCCTTTTATTTGACTGATATATAAAATTTTAAAAAAAGTTAGTAATATTAAATTTTCAAATTCAAATAATTTATATTTTAATATGATCTTTAGCCTTTTTAAAAGAATATTAAAAAATAAAATTCAGAAATGCTAAAAAAAAAGAAAAATTAAACTAATATAAAGAAAGTTATAACTCTCAGAAAACTCCAAAGAAAAAAATTGAATAAATACTAGACCTTTATTTATTATTACAATGTAGCTATATACTTTAACTAGTATTTTATGAAAAAACCTTTGTAATACTTTTAAAAATAAAGAAACTAATAAGAAAACTTTATACTAATGCAATGTTTAAGATCCAGTTATTATTTAGTATATAACTGTTATAACTTTTAAAAAATATGATGAGAACTTAAGTTTTGCAGAAATAAAAATATTTTAATAAAAATTACTTTAATATGTAATTTCTTAAAAACTAAGAGTTTTTAGCTTAAATGAGTTTTAAAAGAATTCTTCTTGAAGTTATTATATTTAAAAGCAACTTTAAAATACTTTAAGTTAAAAAAACCAAGTTTTTTCTTTAGTTTTCTTTTGCTAAAAAAAATGTTCAAGCAATTAATAGATGAGAAATAATTAAATTCCCATTCTTTTTAATAAAGAATTAACTTATTTTTATTAATATTTTTAAAAAAAGTAATAATAATTTTAAAATTTATATAATATAATTTTTAATAAAAATATAGATTTTTAAAATAATATTAGGGTTATATTTTTTTATTTTTATTTTTTATTTTAAATTTTTTTATTATTTGAAATTTTTTTCTTAATAATTTTTTTAATTTTTTTTTTTGTGATTGAAATTATGATGATTGACCAGCATTAAAAATATATAGTGCTGATAAAATTTGATAATTCTAGCTAATGGTGATGATTACTCCTGATGATTTGAAGTAAAAAACTTATTATTATTTTATACTATTTATATATACAAAAAATTATAAAAATATTACAAATACAGTTAATTTTCTATAAATGCATCCTCTTTAGAGCTGAATAAAAACATGTGATTACAAAGGGTATGCATTTATAAAGAGTAAATAATTAGGAAGTTATATATACTTGGAACTGAATCAAAGTGTGCATTTAAGAAGGAAATGCACTTATAAGTAATGTATTTATAGAGAGTTGACTATAATATATTTTAATAATAATACAATATTTTATAAAACTTTTGGAATTATATATTAGATTTTTAAATTATACTTTAAAGTAAAATTTTAAACTGATCTGTTTTTAAAATAAATTAAATTGATTGGATTAGATATTCTAATTTGATTTAACCTGTTTAATCTACAGTATATAAACAAATGTATAAAGTACTTTTTCAGCATTTTTTTTCATAAATTTAATATAAAAAAATGTTATTTTAGCATTTTTTCATAAATTTAATATAAATTAATGTATTTGATAATTTTATTTTTAAGTTAACAGGTTAATTGATTAAATTAAAGCTATAATCTGATCCAATATTAAGTTAAGAATTTATTTATATATTAGAAATCAAAAAAAAGGTACTGTACATCTATCTGATATCATCTGACTTATTCAGAACTATACATACAAGCAAATTATAATATTTGTTTATATTTTATATTCTTTAAATGTGTATTTTTAGGAAAACAATTGCTTTATTTTATAAAGTATTTTATAAGATACTTGAGAACAGTTAACTGATGATGACGTAACTGTGGAATTTTAATCAGCCAATCAAAATTTAATTTTGAGAGGGTCACCCGGATAAAGAAATAAATTTTCCTAATTAAACTTAAAAAGTTTAATTAAATGGAATTTTTTTCCGGTTTCAGAGTAACAAACTTATTATATTTATAATAGTTGGTTTTTAGTGGTTATTATTTAAATGAAAAAAATATATATATCACATGGTAAATTTTTCTTTGCTCAATTTTTGATCAGTGTGGTTTTGTTGAATTTATACTTAAAAGTGGATCGTAGATCGAATTTATGCATGTTATATAAAATTTCTCGTTTTCTGTTTCCTGTCGTTGTCGCATTTAAACCGTTATAAAAATGAAATGTTCCGAAAATACGCTCATTTACCCGTTTAAACAAAGAACAAAATGCTTTTTTAGGAAAGGATTATGCGTTACGGAGAAGTGCGGATTTTATTGTTTGCTCAATATCAGAGGGAACACAGTGTTACATAAATTGTCACGTGTTGCGGACTTTTTTTCCTTGTCCAAAAGCAAGTGATTTGCTATTTAAACTTGTGCCGCCATATAACTGAACTTAGAAACCTTACATTTATTTTTCCTTATATTCATATTTTTTTTTAACATCAACCCAACCACCAACAATGTCTAGTGCCGCCAACATCTTGCTGAAGCAGTTTAAAGGTGCGTATTCTTTTAGATGTCTCTTTGACTAACAAGAATGGCTTCATTTTCTAAAATTACATTTTTGCTCTTAGAACTCACAAGTAATCCGGTACCCGGGTTTACAGTTGCTTTGCGCGATGAAGACAACGTCTTCGAATGGTAACAGTTCTTAGCTTATCTATATTTTTCTTTTAATTAATTAAAAGAAGATCTGGTCTTTTTATTCTTAATTATTCGTTTACAGGGACGTAGGTATCATAGGAGCACCAAATACGATTTATGAAGGCGGTTACTTTAAGGTTGCTAATACATAAAGGTTTATTATATTAATTTGTTTAAAAATAAACTGTAAACTGACACTCTCTTTTGATTTGAAGGCAACTCTCAAGTTCCCTAACGATTACCCATTTAACCCACCAACATTCAAATTCAACAACGAATTTTTCCACCCTAATGGTATGAATTGATGAATTGATGATTTTACATTATAATCTTTAAAAACCTTAGTTAATTTTTTATATAATTGCATAATTAGTCTACATAGACGGAAGACTTTGCATATCTATTCTTCACCCACCAGGTGATGACCCAACTAGTGGTGAGACTGCTGCTGTAGGTTATAAGAGAAAGATAAAGTTAATCGCGCCAGTATATGTAAAACTAAGCGACTTCTTTTAATTCTGATTCTTAGGAACGTTGGAACCCCACTCAGAGCGTTGAAAGTATGTTTAAAATTACTTGTATGTAATTATTTTCACGTGACTAACCGTTAACTTTTATAGGTATTCTGATCAGCATTGTCAGTCTAATGTCAGATCCAAATTGCTCAAGTCCGGCCAATGTGGTATGTACCTAGATTCTTGCATATGCTTTTATTTATTTATTAGATAATTTTTAACTAATAAACAAATATTCTAATTTTAGGATGCCGGGGTATGTATATAGATTATCATTCAGCTTTTTGAAAGGAATAATATTAATTACTGTTCAAATCGGAATTTCTCTAGGTCATGTATCGTCTAGATCGAGAGGCTTATAATAGTCTTGTTCGATGTGAGTATTAAAGGATAATTAAATTCAAATATTTGCTTTTCCTTCCTTTTTTCTTTTCTTTTTTTTTTTAACTCCTTCATTGAAAATAGCTCAAGTCGAAGCATCAAAAAAGGATATTCCAGAAGGATTGAAAATACCAACAAGCAGTAAGTTATTTTAGAAATATTTTACAAAGTTCGTAATGAATATATTCTAGATTAACGCATTTTATTCCGCAGCCGATGATTTCGTCGTTCAGAAGAAACAAGCTGACGATGATCAAGATGAAAATTTCTGGTATGCGTCTGACGAAGACGAAGATATTGACGAAGATATGGATGATTATATGTCTTCAGAAGATGAAGAAGACTAAAATTAAATTTATTTAGTTCAACCTTATTTGAAGATTAATTTTTCGATTTTTTAGAATAATTTTAATTAACGAGTACGATAAAAAATTTTATGCCCATTTTAAGAACATTTTAGTCTTGGCATATTATTTTCCTTTATAAATTGTAACATATAAAACTTTTTTTGTAAATTGCTGTTTACTTTTTCCATTTCATACATTGTGGGCATTCTTTTTTTTATATAAGAAACAAACTTAGAAATAATAAAGATTTGGGACATTTATGAGTAATTTATATATATATATTATTTTATTAATTTGATCAATTAATTTATTTCAAGAAAAATAACCTTATACATGCATTTTCTTCTGTAAAATTATTCAATAATTTTTCTCAAAAAAAAAACTAAAATAAATTTTATTATAATCGTTTTTATTCTTTCAAAGCACGACGTCTATTGAAATAATATAAAATAATTAGTAATATTAAAGGTAATTATGAATTCAAATATAACAAACATACCTATCACGTTCTTCAGCAATTGTGAGCTTTTAAATTAAATTATAGAAATTGTTATTAATATAATATAATATAAATTTCATAAATTAAATGGTTACTTAACACTTACTTTAACACCCTTGCCCTTTGGTAACGAAATCCACGGTTTATTGCCCTCACCAATGACAAAGACATTTATAAGACGAGTGGCGAATTGTCTATCAACGGAATCTTTAATGTGTACAATATCGAAGCCGCCTACGTGTCGTTCCCTATAAACATAAGACATAATTAAATGCTCAAAGGTTTATGATTCACTAATATTTAATAAAGATTAATAGCAATACGAACCTGTGCGTGATAATCCCAACTCTTCCCATATTTCTACCACCTGTTATCATGGCTATATTTCCGACTTCAAATTTGATAAATTCGGTGATTTTGTTAGTCTCAAAATCAAATCTGATTGTGTCGTTAACCTTAATTAGAGGATCAGGATAACGAATGGTACGACCATCATGAGTTACAATGTATGGTATGGCCTTAGAACCAACTTGAACTTTTTTAACTTTAGCTAATTTATATTTAGCTTCATCCGCAGTAATTCTGTGAACAGTAAATCGACCTTTTGTATCATAAATTAATCTAAAGTTTTCGCCATTTCTTTCGATCGAAATAACATCTAATAACAAAATATTGATTGTTAATTTATTTTATTTATTATTTAATTTATTTATTTTTTTTTAAAAAAAATAATTATATACGTTAATAAAAGTTATTCAAAAGTCTTACCCATAAAACCGGCAGGGTATGTTGAATCGGTTCGAACTTTGCCATCAACCTTCACAAGACGTTGCATCAAAATACTTTGGACATCTTTACTGGTAAGGGCATACTTGAGGCGGTTCCTCAAAAAAATAACAAGAGGTAGACACTCACGGAGCTTATGAGGACCAGGAGACGGTCTTGGGGCCTAATCAATCAACCGCGATTAATTATAAATTGTCAATTTTTTAAAAAATTAAGAACGGATACATACATAAGTCCCCGTGAGTTTATCCAACATCCAATGTTTTGGAGCATTAAGTCGTTTCAAATGTTTCCTTGGTCCGCGAGCCTATCATTTGAAGATTAAAATCAGTGAATTATATACAATCAAGATACACATCAAACCAATTTTTTGATTTATGTTTGACAATTGATTAACGCGAAGAGCCAAATAAATAAATAGGACGATTTTGTAATATAAAAATTGACAATTATCATTTAATCACAGATGGATGGAATAATTGATATTTATAAAAATTTTTTTTATTAAAAAAAAAAATCATTCAATCGATTTTGATAGAAAGAACAGCGGTGCATCAAAGGAAATCTAGGGACGCAATTTATCTTGAGGACATACCATTGCTAACTTTTTTAGTTAAACCAATGAGCAAAAGAGGAGGAATTATTTTTTTTCGAAATTATAAGACGTTTTATAATTAAAAAAATAAAATGATGACGTAGATCTGATATATAAGATCATTTCGAAAAAAAAAAAGCTTACGTGTATCCTAAGAATAACGTACGACAATAAAGATTCTCGTTTTTTTGTACTTAAAATTTGTTAAAAATGGCTCGAGACACTGTAAAAAATGTCACTCCAGCTGAGGAACCTTCGAGTAAGGATAAACAAAAAGCAAAGGAGGAAAATGAAGCTAAAACCGATGGAGAGAAAAAAGACGAAGTCGAAGAATTAGTAAGTTTTATTTGAACATTAGTTACCTAGGCGTCGTTACAATCACACACTATTATTGACGGGCTTATTTGAAGTTAATAATTGACTGGGAACTCGTAAATCGCGTTCGCTAAGTTGATACGCACCTTCTTCCTAAAATATTTTGGTAGAACCTTTCTACACGCTAAACACGCTTTGATAACTTTATTACATGTTTACAGTCGGAAGAAGATCTCCAATTAAAGAATGAGTTGGAAATGCTAGTAGAAAGATTGAAGGTGAGAGAAATATTAATATCAGCTTATTTAATTTATCGTAAATCGATTGGAAAGATCTTTTTTTCTTCTTTTTTTTTTAGAAAAAAATTGTTAATTTGGTCAATTGATCATGTATAGGAAGGAGATGTTAATCTTCATAGACCAGCATTAGAAAGCCTTCGAACGTTGATTCGTACGTCTACCAGTTCAATGACCTCCGTTCCAAAGCCATTGAAGTTTTTAAGATCTCATTACGTTACCATAACTGAAATTTACCAGAATTGGCCACCGGGTGATAACAAAGTAATGACAAACGATTATTGATCCATATTTTCAACTTTTTATAGTAATATATCTTTTTTTTTTAGTTATTTCTAGCAGACATTTTATCAGTGTTAGCAATGACTTACGATGAGGGTAAAAGGGAATCTTTAAAATATAGATTGCAAGGATCACGTGAAGATCCAGGTTCTTGGGGGCACGAATACGTGAGGTGAGTATCCAATGTTTCTATCCTGAATTATTCAACATTTATATTAATAATATTTTTATAATTTCAAGACATTTATCAACCGAAATCGGCCAAGAATATGTCTCCCGTACAGAGAAGGAGCTTAGCACGGACGATCTCATGGCACTTGCTTTGGAGGTTGTTCCATTTTTCTTAAAACATAATGCTGAAGCCGACGCTGTTGACTTGCTATTAGAATTGGAAGCAATTGACCAACTACCTCAATATGTAGATAAAGATACATATGCACGTGTTTGCCTCTATATGGTTAGGTACAGATTATCAAGAAACCACTTCAAGTGTTCTTTTTTATTTTTACATTACTGAATTATTATGTACGTATGTTCAGTTGTGTTAACTTGTTAGTACCCCCAGATGATATACAATTTTTACGCACAGCTCATCAAATTTATCGTCAGCATGATAAATATACTGAAGCTGTGTCACTAGCTATTCGGCTTGGAGACCATGATTTGATAAAGGAAGATTTTGAAGCAGCGGGACATATAGATGCGTACGTTTTCTTTATATTTATTATCATTCATGATTATAAGGTTCTAATTGACTACTTTTGTTTTCCAAAGACTTTTGCAAAAGCAAATCGCTTTTCAATTGGGAAGGCAACAAATTGACATCCCCGAGATTGAAGATGAAGATCTTAAGGAGATATTGAGTAATTCACACCTATCTAAACACTTCATTGCTCTTGCAAAAGAGTTAGATGTTCTCGAACCAAAGACACCAGAAGATATTTATAAGAGCCATCTAGAAAATATTCGTTAGTAGCCTGTTTTACTTGTTATTTTATATTTTAATATTAAAATAACATTTATTTCATATAATTAAAGGACCAGGATTTACGAGCGGAAGTGTTGATTCAGCACGACAAAATTTAGCATCCACTTTTGTAAATGCTTTTGTTAATGCTGGATTTGCTAAAGATAAATTAATCTCAATAGAGGATGGTACAACGTGGATTTATAAAAATAAAGACCATGGTAAGGAATTATTTATATATTATTAGCATAATAAAATTTATATATACTTATATAAAATTATTTAAATTATTTTAATTTGTAGGAATGTTGAGCGCAGCTGCTTCTATCGGTATGATTATGTTATGGGATGTTGATCTCGGATTGTCGCATGTTGATAAATATTTATACTCTAGTGAAGATCATATTCAAGTAAGTTCTTACATTAATAAACACCGAAAGAAAGTAACGTTTAATGTCAATAATTGATCTACAGATGTTTTCATTTTCGTTTAGGCCGGTGCTCTTCTTGCCATCGGGCTTATAAATACTGGAGTTCGTAATGAGAATGATCCAGCTTTTGCTTTACTTTCAGAACACATTGAAAAACCAAAAGCAATGATGCGAATTAGCGCTATAGTTGGGTAAGATAAATATGCAAAATACGATTTTTTTATTATTGTGTAAGGAAAGTCTTATTGATTATTGCGATTTTACCTGTTAGACTTGGTATGGCGTATTCTGGGTCCCACAGAGAAGATGTTCAAGAATTATTATCTCCGTTCATTAGTGATACTACATTAAATATGGAAATTGCTTCACTTGCAGCTCTATCGTTGGGGTTGGTATTTGTAGGATCTTGCCATGGAGATATTACAAGTACAATATTACAAACAATGATGGAACGTGACGAATCTCAATTAAAAGAAACTTGGGGAAGGTTTATGGGTCTCGGATTAGCTTTATTATATCTTGGTAAGCTTTGTTTTTTTTGTTATTATTTTATAATATCGTCCATTTTAAATGGAGAGAAAACATCAACTTACAAGTAATTTTAAAATAAATAGGAAAGCAAGATGCTGCTGAAGCAACTCTTGAAACTTTGAAAGCTATTGAGCACCCTATTGGTAAACAGGTCAGAATATTGGTAGAAATTTGTTCTTATGCAGGTAAATTAATTAACAAAACTTTGAATGGCTTAATTAGATAAATACTAATCCATATATATATATTATTAAGGAACTGGAAATGTACTTAAAATCCAGGATATGTTACACGCGTGCAATGACCATTTAGATAAAGAGAAAGAGGATGATTTGCATCAGGCTTTTGCTGTATTAGGTGTAGCTCTGATAGCTATAGGTGAAGATATTGGTGCTGAAATGGCATTAAGGACATTCAATCATTTGGTAAGATTTTTTTTTTTTTTTTTTTAAGTATTTACTTAATATATATATCTTTCATTAGAATAATTCAAGAATATTATATTTTTAAATAATTTCACTTATCACACAGATGCATTATGGTGAACCAGTGATTCGTCGTGCAGTTCCTCTTGCATTAGGATTGCTGTGTGCCTCTAATCCACTTCTTAATGTCCTTGAAACGTTAAGTAAATATTCTCATGATAATGATGCGGATGTTGCTATTAATGCTATTTTTGCTATGGGCCTTGTTGGTGCAGGAACAAATAATGCACGATTGGCACAAATGTTGAGACAACTTGCATCATATTATCATAAAGAACCAAATTGCTTATTTATGGTTCGAATTTCACAGGTATAAATTTTATTGTTACTTATTTTGCCAGTATATTAATATTCTATTGACGAGTTATATATTCTAGGGGTTATTACATATGGGTAAAGGGACAATATCAATTAATCCATATCATTCTGATCGTCAATTAATGTCGCCTGTTGCTATAGCCGGCCTTTTAGCAACCTTAGTTGCTTTTACTGACACTAAGACATTTATACTGGGTAGAAACCATTGGTTCTTATATTACTTGGTTACAGCGATGTATCCAAGATTCTTGATTACTCTTGATGAAGATTTGAATAGTTTGCCAGTTACTGTTCGTGTAGGACAAGCTGTTGATGTAGTAGGACAAGCAGGAAGACCAAAGACTATTACTGGGTTTCAAACACATTCAACACCTGTATTGCTGGCACATTCAGAACGTGCTGAATTGGCTACAGAAGAATGTATCCTTTTTTGTAAAAAATGTTTTTATTATAATTAATAATGTATTACTTTAACCTTTTTTTTTTAACGAAATAGATATATCATTATCTCACGTTCTTGAAGGATTTGTCTTGTTACGTAAGAATCCTGACTTTATGGAAGAAGATAAAGAATAATAATGATTTAGCACTACGAAATATTTTATTATGTTATTAATGATATAATGTCATTGATAATTTATATTTGGTAATTGAATGATTTATAAATATTTATGAGATTAGAGAAGTGAATTGTAAAGATGACCAATTATATAATTGTGAAAAACTCTTTGTCTAGTTATGAAATAGATAAAATTGTTTATTGAAATTAATTTTATATATCAACTTATTTTTGTTAGAAATGAAATTTTTTTACAGAAAAAACTGTAAATAATTATTAGTTAACATGCATGATCGTGAATTTTATATTATTTAGATTAAAATTCCTATCTTTATCATCTGAAAACATCATAGCGGCTATTTATCTTTTCATCTTCGGAAAATCATACCTACAGTTCTCGAAAAAAGTAATCGGAATTACAAAATGTGTAAAAATAGAAACCCAGTGATTAGACTTTCTTCAAATTTTGTAAGATTGTTGTCAAATATGTTATACATTATATATATTAAATTTCAGCCCTCTATTGTCTTTTGATCGATTTTTTTTAATTTGAAAAAAAAGCGATCAAAATTTAAGCTGTAAATATAAATAATTTTTAATTAAAATTGAATAATCATAAATTTAAGTTTATTCTATGTTAGTTTTATTAAAAAAAATTGGTTGCCGAGAAAAATCAAATTCTTCAAATTCTTTAGTTAAAAGAATTAAAATTCATATATAAAATGCAAAAATTATAAAAATTATAAAAGATTTTTATAAATATATTTAATATTAGATTTATAATTTTCAATATAACAATATATACAAAAAATTCATCAAATCTAATGCACTTAAAAATTTTATTTATTATGAATATGTCAATGTCCGAGTAACAATATTGAAATTTAAAACGAATTTCTGACCCTAATTTATCATGTGCTTAAATAAAATTGGTCATCCATGTAGATCATTAAACTTTAATCGCGTGTCTACCCAAGAATGTCAGAAATAAATGGATCAGTTCAAAAGTCGCGTAAACGTTTTATTGGGAAAGCAGCTGCAAAGAAAAAGCAGGAAGAAGCTCAACAAGTGGCAAATGTTGAGGATAGCAAATCTATTATTGCTATAGGTACTATAAGAATATATATTTTTTCTTATGTTCTATCCTTATTATTAATATAAACGTTTATTTTGGTATCTAGAGGATTCGCCAGTAAAACTTAAATCTTCGAGTCGAATAGTAAATCAAATTCCTTTTGAAATATTAAATGATTCTTTATTAAATAAAGCGATTGAACAGGTTAAAACTTAATCGCTTCGTGTCTGAAATTTTTATAATGTGTTTATAATTAAATGTTTTGGAACAAATCATTTTAGCTTCCATCAAATTATAATTTTGAAATCCACAAAACAGTATGGCATATTAAACGTTCTGAGGCTACCAAAGGTTTGATAAATTAAAATTCTTATTATTGGAGTATTAGTTATTAATCTTATAATTTTTATTACATTTATGGGATTAGTTGCATTACAATTTCCGGAAGGCCTTTTGATGTTTGCATGCATTATTGCAGACATATTAGAAAGTTTTTGTAATATTGAAATAATTATAATGGGAGACGTAACATATGGAGCTTGTTGTATAGATGATTATACTGCTAAAGCTTTAGAATGTGATTTTATGGTACATTATGGACATAGTTGTTTAGGTTAATAATTTTTATCTAAGTGATGAAGTTCTTTTTTATAAATTTAGCTAATTAAGATGTTAAAATTATCAGTTCCCGTAAACATTACAACCATAAAGACACTATATGTCTTTGTAGATATTAGTATTGATACGGATCATTTCATAAATACCATAAAACTAAATTTTGAGAATGGTAAAAAATTGACCATTGTTGGCACTATTCAATTTGTTGCCGCTATTCAGGTAAATAAATTTTATAATAGAAAGGTATAAGAGAATAATAATAATTAATTTTTCAAAAAAATTTAAAATAAGGCAGCAAAAAAACCTTTGGAAAATGATTATTCTTTATTTGTACCACAAGCAAAACCTTTATCACCTGGAGAAATATTGGGTTGTACATCACCAAAATTAGGCGAACAAGATGCTATAATGTAAGTAATCATCCAATAAACTTGTATAATATACTTATCTAATTGACCTTCTCTTTGGGATAATTGCTTTTAGTTATCTTGGTGACGGCAGATTCCATTTAGAATCCATAATGATTGCTAACCCAGATATACCCGCGTTTCGGTAATGATCCTATCAAAAATATATATCGTGATCGTACTGTAATGAAATAACATTGTGAACAGTCAGAAAATGTCAATTTATCATCCAGCTCGATTATAATATGATAGTGACTTTTAACTTACTTGTACTTAATCTACTTTAGCTATGATCCGTATTCCAAGAAATTTACACGAGAACGTTATGATCACGCGGAAATGCATTCCTTAAGAAAACACGCAATTGATTTGGCCAAAAAAGCCAAAAAATTTGGGCTAATCCTAGGAACTTTGGGCAGGCAAGGAAGTCCAAAAGTATTAGAGGTATTTATAGAATGTAACTAAGATATGTTATTAAAGATGAAATTTTTTTATATTTTCATGATTGGGAAATTACAGTACCTTGAAGAGAAAATGAAATCTCGTGGCCTAGATTATATTTGCATATTGCTATCTGAGATATTTCCTGATAAATTGGAACAATTTCAAGATATTGATGCGTAAGCTTTTTAAATTTTTTAAAATACCTTATTCCTCAATACCCGAAAATTAAGTACTCCTGGCCAGAATTGTAAAGATTTGGTCTAAAATATCTTTGTTGTGGCGTGCGAAGAGGAAATGCTTAATTTGGAGAAATACAGTATTTAATATTTCTCAATAATTTTGATTTCTTTATTCTACACAATTTATAGATGGATTCAAATTGCATGTCCACGCTTGTCGATAGATTGGGGTTATGCGTTTCCAAAGCCATTATTAACGCCATATGAAGCATCAGTTGTATTAGATGCAATTGATTGGCAATCCGTCTATCCAATGGATTTTTATGCTAATGATAGTTTAGGACCCTGGACGCCTAATCATGGGAAAGGGAAAATTAAACGATAACAACTGGAAAATATAACATTTTCATATATATATATTTATTTACTGATGATATACGTTTTTTTTTATTAAATAATAAATATTTTGTTCACCAGAAATTAAACCCTAACCCCAATTGTAGACCCTTTTTTAACTTATCAGTATTTGTTGCTATTAATGGCAAACAGAAATTTACTTCCAATCTTAGAATGCTACTTCTGTACACAACTCCCACGCCTGCTGATACACTAGGCATTTTTGCAAGATTATTGAGGCTAACAGCAAGTCGTTGAGCTAAAATGGCCGACGATAATTGAATCCTCATATTTACAATGAAAGAAAGCATGAAATAAATTATAAAATACTTACATGGATTTATTTGCATCAAACTTCCTCCGTTTACGAAAAAATGTCCTTTTACTGGATGTCTGCTCAACTTAGGCAATGGAGTGAAAAGACTTACGCCTGCCGCAACGTAAGCATCACCTCCAAGTGAATCCTCTAAATTCCATGATAAAAATTATAACAGTAATAGAATCAAGTAAAAAACTCGAGTTATAAAATTTTTACGTACTTTTATCTTCCCTTGGACCCATTCCATTCAGTTTAAATCCTCTCACTGATTGCGCACCACCAAGGAAAAATCTATCGCTAATTTTTGATTGCTGAGTTTTAAATGGGAATAATAATCCATTCCTTAGTGACGCGCTAAAGATCTATTAACACAATTTTGAAAATTAATTAATTCAATAATTTAAAATAATATAAAAATTAAACATATCAATGAACTTACAAAACCTTTACCGAGAGGAAAGTTAATTTGGCTCTCAAATTCATTCTTAACAAAGAAAACGTCTCCATTAAATCCTGCGAGTTCCTATATAATTTTTAGTTATATTTTAGTTTCATATATTTTGCGAATAAATGAACAAAATATTTTATAAAACCTGAAATAATTTAATGTAATAACCGCGCGAAGGCAACATTATATCGTCACGCATATCCCGCACTAAAGTATGTGCCACAGACGATTTTAAAGAATGTCCTGCCGATTCCCGTATACTACATTCATAAATATATTTGATTAACAATATTAAGAGAAAATGTATAAGGAAATTTCTTTAAAACATGATTTGCCTTAATGTTGCATCTTTAGCAATATTGCAAATTTGCCTCCATGACGTTCCATAAGTTAATTCGTGAAATCCTAATTTAGAAAGAACCTATTAACAAAAAAAAAATTATTTAAAATTATTTAAATTTAATCCCAGAATGATGTTTCTTATGGTAACGTACTCTCCATCTTAATGCAATTCCATGTAATATTTCATCATGGGAACTAAAGCTTTGATTATTTTTTGTTAGTCTATATGCCGAAATGTCAACCTTGGAATCTGGATTCCCATTAATTGGTTTTGCTAAACAAAACTAGAGAATATGTAAATTTTTATAATTGAATTATATTAATCCTGACAAAAGTACATACCTCAAATACGTATGAAGTCTGTGTTCCAGCTGACATATAGGTTTCCAATGTTTCTGCGCCACCAAAAACATTTCGAATATTTAAGGAAATATTCTAATGAAATCAAAATAAACAATAAATTATATAATGCATTTGTTCTTCTTACGTCAATACTTAAGGATAACATACCGCGCTTCCCGCGTCATTGCCAATTTCAGTCCCGGTCTTTATCCAAAATCTACTTTTTTCTTCTGTAGATAGGATGACATCGATAGCTCCAGGCTGTGCAAGTGGGTCACTACTTTTATCAAGAAATACATCGATATGCTTAAAAATGTCAAGACGATTTAATTTGTCTGCAGCTAAGTGAACTTCATCGATGATCGAACCCAATGTGCGAGCTTGTAACGCAGAGTAAACCACCGACTCAAATAGAGATTGACGCGTCTTTTGTGTACCATGAATTCGAAAAGAATGAACGTAAAATGGACAGTCTTTTGTATCAAAAACCTAAAAAAATAAATTGATATAAAAAAATGAGATGATGAATGTATAGAGCGTATATAAGCATATTATGCGCCCGGAATGATACCAAATTATTCAATTTTATTGCTGCTTCTTCATACTCCTTATATTTCTTAGCCTTAGCTTCAAGATTGGTATTCATGAATTCTTCGGCTTTTTCATCACTTTCGTGAGCCCTGAGCGGAAACTGCAAATAAATGTAATTTGTAAAAATATTAATTTAATCAAAAATCTTCAAAATTTTTTATAAGCTTTCACCTCATCATTATCCATTTTAACAAGAAGATAACTACTGATGCAAAATTATTATATCTACAAAAAATTTCTGTTGAAACATGTGACTGTTATGTAGTATTCCTGTAGAGCATCCTTATCCTGGACCTCGAATTTGATTGGGCAAAAATTGTTATATTTTTGTAGAATTTTATATACAAAATACAGACAGAATAAAATTAAATTTTCAACTAAAAAATGCATAATTTTTTATAATGTATTTATTTCGTGCAAGAATTACATTTTACTATTAAAAAATTTTTTATTGACAGATTATTTACATCAAAATAATTACTATACAATTGCAGTTTCTGCATAGTGCATAAAACAAAATTCTGCGCGATCAGTTTCTAATATTTTATCTAAAAACAAACAAATATGTAACGATAAATTGAGAAAATTTTTATAATCATAAAGATAAATAATAATAAATAAATGTTATTTTTATACCTTTATTCTGTAATATTTTCAAATAATCAAGCAACTTTTTTGGTAAAGGATTAGGCAAAGATTGATTGCAAAAAAGACAAAATAATTCATTATCTAGTAATGTATAGTTAATCTTTAATACCTTTTTGATATTTAAATTTGAAATATAATAAATAGTGATAAGACTATACCTTTTTTTTTGCTTAAACCATTGTCTATTTCCACTATTTCCATATCCATTAATTCCGTCACTGATATTTGTGGTAAATTCTGAAATACCCTATGTATTGAACTAGATGCGTTAATATTATCATTTTTTTTATCATCATATTTGGGAATATTTTCTTTTTCTTGTAATGACAATCCACTGCTATTATTGGATCTTGTTTTCCGTTTTTTATTTGATAAGTCATTCATTACTTTACTTTTTTTTTCTAATTTAACGTAGTAAAACTAGTATTAATAATATAATCACATTAATAAAAATTAATTTAAAAAAAAACAATTACAAATACCTCTTTTTTTTGAATTATTAGTAGCAGTCTGGGGATTTCTAATTAAATTTTTTGTTGTACTTTTACAAGTTTTTTGATTATTTGCACTTTTTATTCTATTTAATTTTGTAATAAAATATTGTTTGTAGTATAAAATTCCTGTGCCATTTCCGGGTACTTTTTTACCAATCCTTTTATTTCATGAAAGACTTTTGATAACAAATATTCATAATCTTCAACACGTTCAATAATTTTGTCATTTGGAGATTGAATATTATTACAAAATAAATGAAAATTTTGCGTTAAAACAAGATTACTTGGATCTTTTCTCTATTGATTATGAAATAATGATTCTGGAAGATTATTTAAATTAAGTTGTGTTGCTACACAAAAAATATGTCGGCAGATAATTCCTGAGAAGGTAGTGTATTTACAAGAACATACAAAATGATTTGTTTCACCATTATGTACCACTTTTCTTCCAGGTTTGGTTTCATGATTAAAACGGTAAATTTGATAAGTTTGCATCGTTTCAGTTCTATTTTTTTTAAAAAAAATCATGCATTTTATAGTATTAGTACATTGTTACAATAAAAAAAGATATTTATAATATATAACATACCTTGAATCTAATAGTTCAATACATAAATAACTCGTAGATTGTAATAACTGTTCTTGCGTTAATTTTAATGCATAATTCGTTAATATTTCTGAGGCCTGATATTCAAGTGGACTTAATGTTTTAAAAGTGACATTTTCATGAATTTGCTTGTATTTAGCTAATTGTAAATCATTTTCACGCTGCTCTAATGCTGATTCAAATGCTTTTAAAAAATCCAATAATGAATGGGAAGCATCCATATAACCTTTCATTAAATTATTCATAGATTCACCACGCTGTGTACTTGTCATATCTGCTAAAAATGTATCTCTTATAAAGCAAGGCGCCCATTTCTCTTTTATTTTATCCATTCTTTCTAAATGTGATTTTGAATCTGGAAAATTTTCTTTAAGTTGCTGCCACTTAATTATAAAATTATCAACTTCATATTCTCTTATGCAATCGTAAAATGATTTAGTGAACTCCCGCCATTTTGTTCCTAGAACATTAGCAATATTTTTGATGACATTTTTCCAAAGATGCCATATACATAAAACATGTTTAGTATTTTGTCCAAATGTGATCTCTATCGCCTGAGAAATTGCTTTGTCTTCGTCAGTAAGCATCACTTTAGGTGAATAATTATTAACAAACTTAATAAAAGTATTAAATACCCATACAAAACTATCTATTGTTTCTCGACACATTAAAGTTCCAGCAAAGCATATACTTTGACCTAAATTATTTATTCCAGTAAAAATCCCAAATGGCATATTAAACCTATTAACTTTATATGTGTTATCAAAAACAATATCATCTAAAAATCTGCTATAATATTGCTTTTGATCAGGATACATCCAAATTACTTGAAGTAATTCATTTGTATTAACATCAACTCTAACTTCGTATTCAAATCCATCAATTTCTCTTTTAAGTTGTTTTAAGATATTTATAAATTCTTCTGCTTCAAAAAAGCGTTGTTCTTGTTTACCATTTAACTGATATATGAAATTATAAATATCATTATAGATCCATGTTTCTAAGTCTTTATATTCTTGCTTAAGAATTGAACGAATAGTTGGTACATTACAGCCTGCTTGATGATAAACTATAATTCGATCTTTAATTTCTTGAGGAATTATTCTTTCACTACTAAGAAACATTTTGTGTTCAGGAGCAACCATTTCATGATTATGTTCCAAATTCATGGCTAAAATGTGCCAAAGTCCACTATTATTATCAAGTAAAGCTCTGATAAAAAATGGACAATTACATCTTTGAGATTTACGATCTCTTGAGTTGACTTTATCCTCTTTACTTTCAGAAACACCTGCGCGTGATCATAAGATTGTTTTTCTTATAATATTTTTTTCTTTATCACGACCTACTTTACTCAACCGTATCTGAAAATTGCAATATGACGCGCAATTTTGAGCTCTTGCTACAAATTCTTCATGATTTTTAAATATATCCGAAATTTTTAATTCAGAAGATTGTTGTGGTTCAGGTTCGGAAGTATTCATAGTTACTATAAAAAAATATTAAAGAACGAGTTCACACAATTAATTTTTACTCTTTATATTTATATTTTCATATGTTTAAATAGTTGTAGTTATAATACTTACAATATTTTTATAAGTAAAAGATGTGTGGTAAAAAACTTTTAATATGTATTATTGTGTGTATATAAACTCGTGTGGCTAAGTAAAAAAAAATTGTTTTTATTGATTTTATTGATTGAAATTAGCCAATCAAATTTGACTGGCCCAGGATAAGCATTTGGACCGGTGGATCAGGTTAAGGATGGCCATTCCTGTATCACTATCATTTCCACGTGTTATTTGGCTTTCGCAGAAATCAGATGATCTGCTGCGTTGAATGTAGGCAATGTATATAAAATATTTTAATGACTTTAAAATTAGAATTACAAATGTGATGCCATGTTTACATAAGATTTAACACAGTCATGACTTTGAACTGAATCGGTTCAGATTCAAACCTTGATTAGATTCACTCCAAAGTCCGCAACTTCGGTTTGACTTGTACTAGTCAGTAAATATCATAATTTATATAAAAATGCGATAAAAAATTGCAAACTATGTGGAAAATCATTATATCAAGAAAAGGATTTGTACAATTAGTTTGCAAAATTAATGAACAAAGTAAACATAAATAATGCAAGCCAGAATTTTATTATTTTTAGACATTATTGTAAATTCTGGCTTAAGCAAAAAACAGCTGATCTCTTTAATGATCTCATATATTAGACATATTACATACGCTCTCTTTTTCGGATAAAATTATTAAAATTAGTATCAAACTTGATAATATACATTATATTTGTTACCTGCATGTTATGATCTTTTTATAAAACGATCAAAACGATCGGTGAAAAATATACAACATATTTCTTATAATAAAATTGTAAAATTTAAACTTAGCCGATACTTTTTAAAAATCTATTTTTCTGCGGAATTTAAAACATTGCTATCGCTTTCATTAAAGCCAACGCTCATATTAATGCAACATTACAATTAACAAAGTGAAATAAAATATTAAATGTATGTATTATACTATGTTGTTAATTTTCGTCCCGAACGTCGTATCTATAAAAAAACCTAATTAGAGTAAGTTATAAAAAAAATGTAAATAATAAAAATAGATACCTTTGGCTCAATATCCATTTCATCATATTCTGAACCTTCGTGACCTTGCTCACTTTGATTTACGTTGGAAGATTCAGAATCTTTCATTTCTATATCGCTTGCTTCAGAAACATCATTAGATTTCTCTGAATCATCATCACTGCTAGTTGATATAACTGCCATTGATTTTATATTAGACTTAGCAGCCCTTGGAACTGACCTACATAAATAAGAATAAAGAAATTGATCTAATTGAATCTTGTACGTATTAATAATGATAAATAAGTATTTACTTTCGAGTGGAGATAGACGGAGTTCCCCGAGTATCTGCATTAATTTTACGTTTCTTTTTAGGAGCTTGACTTGAGGTCTTTCGCCCTTTTCTAATTGTTTTCGGCTATAAAGTATAATTTAAAAGTTTATTCATATTCTCGATATAGTAATGAAATAGTTTAAACTCAAATGACCTTATCGCTTTTACTGTGTGTGGAAGCATGTCTCTTCTCTAATATTTTTAAAAACTCACTGGGAATATAACTTTTTTTCATAATCTATAATATGTTCATTAGTTTAGTAAAATAGTTCTCGTAAAAGTAAATTTACTATTAGATATGCACAAACCTCCGATATAACCTCAGGGTTCGGTAGGTTTTTAAATAAGTCCTCGGGAAGTTTGACATGTCCAGGAAATGTAGGCAAGCTCCAAGAACAAGACTTACACTTAATACGGATAAGGTATTCAGTCAAATCACTCAAAGCGTATAAATTCTAAATGAATCATGATTTAAGAATTATAAGTATCTACGTTATATATTATTACATATTGATGCCTTATTATTCAATACGTTGTGTATATGTATAACCTCGCTTTGATCCAAAGTCTGCGCATCGCGAACTTGTTTCAATCTACCAGTTATATATAACAAGAAAGATACGTTCTCGGCATTTGCAATAGTATCTAAGAAGAAGTCTATATACCTGTAAAAATATATAATTTAATCATTCATTTATATTAAATTAAACTACATTAACTACATTGAAATTAGAAACAAATAATAATAACTCACGCAACAAATTCATTGAGAATATCTGGTTCACGGGAAAAATCAGGGTGATGAGAAAGGAGATGAATAAGCCGAACCAAAGACATTTCGAAATGCATTGATTTGTCACCTATATTAGATTAATGTAATAAAAGCTTTGTATATAATATAATAAGAGGAATTTAAGGAAAAAAAATGGAGTACTTACGAATTGCCTTTGATGCAAGAGAGTGTCTTATCAGGAAAACTTTGACCTAATACGGCAAAATTGTAATATATCCATCGAGTATATGTTATTTGATTTGGATAATTCGGGAGCAACTATTATTTTAAATACTAATATATTACCATTTCGCGAATTGTTTCATCCGGGTCATGCGCAATTAAAAAAAATATGGATAAAAATCGCGCGTTAAGATGATATCCACCACAATATTTTATCAGCCGTGAAGCGAACGCAAAACGAACATGATAACATGGATCCTAATTAATTATATGAAAAATATTACTAATACTGTATATATCAAAATACTCAAAGGATAATCTAAAAATTGAGAAAGATACTTGTATCATTAATGCTAGCTCTTGTAATTCTGCGGCAGAAATCATTGAATCATAAATCTTCTTCCTTGCAAGTTTCAATACAGAGTGTACAGCAACTAACCGTAAACGACTCTGAAATGATGGTCTTATAGAATTAAGAAAATAGCCAATCAAATTGATTATTACCATGAAACATCTTAAACAAATGCTAAGAATCAAACAAGCCAAATGGTTAATTACCTTGTAGATTTATCAGAAATGAGCTCACCGCCTCCTCTTATTAATGTCCAAAGCAACTTAAAAACAGGCTTTGCTAAATCTTGAGCACTCTCTGTTTCTGCTATAGCAAGCAAACGGTTCACGAGAACTTTTAAACCCAATACCTATTACAATAATATTGTTTATAAAATCGCGACGATTTTAAAACGAAATGCTTAAATAGTCAACGAAATATGGATGTTTCAACATAAGCAAATAGATTGTTACATCTAAATACCTTTGCTTTACATTCGTCATCAAGCTCGTCATCGTCAACCCATTCGGCTTTATCTCCAGGAGTTGCCTATTTAATTTAACAACATATCATTTATTTTATAAATTATAAAGCAAGGATTTCATAAACTTAATACAAACCTTATTACGATTTTTCATAATTAGTTCTTTGACTATGAAATTCGTAATTGTATCACTTTGTTGCTCATATGTCGTGGGCATATAAAGTGCACATTGGCTGAGCACAGAAAGATACGATAAAATATTTGGCGAAGTTACCATAAGATTGGGGATAATTTTCTGAGAATTACGGAAATAAATAATGAAAAAACATAATTGGTGAATATAATAACAAATAAATAATAGTAAAGCATTTGTCAAAAAGAATCTTGTATCTACTTTGAATAAATCACTACATAATTGTTGTTTCTGTCGAATATGAGTCAGAATTATGGCCGCAAATTTAGCCTGACGTGGAGACCCGTTTAGTGCAAATTGCATATAACGTTGTATAGTTTCACTGCACAAAGTGAATTTTGTCAGTTGCAAATATCATAATACTTTGATAAAAATGGATAAAAATCAAATGAGAATTAATAACCTATCCTGATATGCTTCATCAGGAAATGCTTTGGCCAGTTTAGAAAGTGCCTCTAGGCTATCTTCAACTAGAACGAGATGTAATAAAAATTAGTAAAACATTGTATATAATGTTATAAATAAAATTTACCTATCATCGAGCTTTCATCTTCTTCCTTAAGAAGAGTAGTTAGCTTTTCAAAATGTGATCGAAATATAGCGGGAAATCGGGAAGATATATCCTATTGATTGAAATAAGTTATGTTTTTGTGTTATTCTTCTTCAACAAAAATAATCTAATATAAGTCATTTTCAAATTACCGTAAACAATTCATGAGCTATGATCGAGTGCTCATTTTGCTGCTCTCCATCAACGGATTTAATTTTGTTCATAAGCAAAGGAACCAAGTCCCTATTAATGGTTGTTAAACTAACACGTCGTATCAAGATCGAAAATGTTTCAAGTGATGATGCGGCTATTTGTTCAATGTGTTTAATCGCATCTTTCTAATAAAATAAATGATTATTATGAATTTAACTAGTTAGAAATTCAAAATTTTTTTTTTTTTAAAAGAATAAACATATTTACGGCAGATTTTCGGACAGTTTTATAATCTGATTGTGGATTCATACAATCTCTGATTAACTTATATACACGAGTATCCCGAAGTTTTGCAAATGCTGACAAATGATTTTTCGATTTTTCTGAATCAGGGAGTTTGCCTATTATTATTTAAATGTAAGATTTTTTTGAACAAACTTAAAATATATGTATGTAATATTTATTATGAAAATTAATGTTCCAATTATACATGTTCGAGAAATATAATTAGGAAACTGACCTGAAATACGTTCAATGACTTGATTCAAAATATTCGACAGTTTTTCGCTATCTTCATTATTGGAGTCATCCTTAATAAATTATAAATAATCAATATTTAAAAATGATAAAAATTAAATTTAACAACAATTATTATATAAAAATAAATTATACATTGTATTTTTCGCAAAGCTTCAGAAATGTCTCCATGTCATTAATTGCTCTGAATATTATACAAAATCAGTTAAATTAACCCAAGAAAGAAACTCATATAAATATATACAAAAAACATACTCTCTTTGCCTCTGGAACAAAGAGAAGAATCCTTTCTTAGCTTTTGGGTCAAGTGACCCAAAGACAACAATGATTCGATCCATACGCGCCGAATCTCCATTGTTGGATGTTAATATCTCCTCGTACATTGCCTTTTCAACACAAACACTAAAAGAGTTAAAGAAATGCTTAGTTAGTTATATAATAAGGAAAATAAAAAAAAAACAAATAAAAAATTTATTTACTTAATTTCGTTATCTTTTATATAAAGAATATTTAGTATTTCTGAGGGAATCCACCCAAACTTTTCAATCGCGTTCGCATCATGATCTACACTATTAAAATATAAAATTTCGGTTATGTTTTCACTGAAAGTATATTATTAAAAAACACTGCATACATTTCAATGTAAGCCATATTATATAATCGCGCTAAAGCTTTAATTGCCTCCTGTCTAACTCCGTGCTACACAAAATTTTGATTAAAATGTATTATATATTTATAAACACGACAAAAGAAACATTATATTTACTTTACGATCACGGCATCGTTTGGCTAGTTCAATAAATAATTCTTTTCCCACAAGTTTGGAAGCACACTCATATTCTAATTGCCCAAAAACTTTACATACAGCAACTCTAACTTTATCGTCAGGATCTGATATTTTGGAGATTATTGCCTCTAATATGATGACAAATATGCTAAAGATTAAACTGACCGCTAAGTTAAGCAAAAGTATAGAAGATCATTATATTTCATACCATTTATCTGTTTGGCCAGTTCGTGATGATTAATATAAAGAGGCAAACAATATTCTGTCCAAGCACATCGGACATCCGGTATTTTATCGTTTCGTCTTTATGTCGAATAAATTTTATATTTGACCAGGATTGAGATTAAATATTAATATAAATAACAGACAAGAACTAGAGAATCCAACCTAAGTAGCCACATCTTCCAAACATTGTCATAACGACTTGCTAAAGTGGAATTTTTCTCGGAAAACATTTCTCCAAGAACTTGTGTGGCAAGCAGACGTAAAGGAGTATCGTCCAACTAAAATACACGTTATTAGGATCCATACATGCAAATTGAAACTTTAAATTATTTAAAATACAAACTTTCAATTCCTCTTCTAATTGGGGTATAACGTTTAACAATAAGCCCGGTGCTGTCCTATTTAACTCTTTAATAAGATCATGGGCTGTTTTGAAATCATTCAGTTCTTCTGCAGATGTCCCATTTTTACCGGCTGCAACAATAACATCTGTAAAATACTGTACGTAACAATTCATTATTACTAAATTGATATGGAAAGTATAGGAAAATAACATAAAAATTACCTACTTGACAAACATATCGTTGTAATTTGTCTGTTGCATGCCTGCAAACCTCGCTAGCTAATTTATAAGCTGCTGGATTTTCATCCTAGATAAACTCACAAAAGTATCAATTAAAATATAAAATAACTGAAATAATAAAGATACAAATAAATAAATACTTTTCGTTTTTTTAAAAATTGTGCAAGTATTATATCGATCACATCTTGAGGCAGTCCATTACTTTCATTAATTAATTGTTCAAGAATGTCTATCATATGTGATTGAACAATATTCGACATATCTGACCTACATTAGATATATATTAAGATGAAAAAAAATGTATGAAGATATTAACTGATGCAAAAAAAAACTAATCAACTGACCTAATGATATCAAAAAAATCTCTGAATAATTCAGTCAAAAGTTCTTCATAGTTTTGAAGATCTAATATCAATAATACTATTTTAACTCTTGCTAAATTTTCAAGCAAATGAAAATATAAATCAAAATAAGGTCCATCTTTATTGGCAATATTTTGCAATTGACGAACAAAAAATACAAAAATGTCCTACGATAGAAAACAAGAAATCAAAAATATAGAATTAAATAAATTTGATATAAATAAAACGCGAAAAATAATTACTGCACTTAGCTAAGATTATTTTTTTCCTTACTTTGAGTTCATGGACCGTATATGGTGCATCTGGTGCGTAAAGTCTTAGCAGATCCGATATACAACAAGCTACATAAGCCCTTACTCCCCAATCCTTATGGCCTATTAAATTTGCATTAATTAAGTCGCGAGTCACGCCTTTTAAAGAATCTAAGTCAACCTGATCTTGATCCATAACGGAAACTTCTCCAAATAAATTCTAAACAAAATTTTAATATAAAACCAATTTTTACGAAATGTAAAACTCGCTAAGCAAAAATTGCTAGATACCTTTAGTCTCTTTAATAGTTCTGCAGTGGAAAATGGTTTCTGTGACGAGACGAGTTTTTGTTTGAACTGGAGTCTGGCTGGGCGCGAAGTCGTTCCCTTACCTGTAGCCATTTCGATAATTATTTTCTAGAAATAAATATTTTACTTTGTTACTTCAACTATGAGTTGTTACGCGAACAAACACGTATTGCTCCAATGTTGAGTCGTGCTGTTAGCTACTTGAATTGTTCGATGGGAATAGTTGATCAAATCAATGGACCAACAGGCAACAGTTTTTGGTGGTTCACGTTCCTAATCAGGGTTACACCAACCAATTATACATGTGACTGATCATCTGCGTTCGATCACGTGATTTTGAAAATTTCATCATCCACATCACGTCTCTGTTATCCAATATAATGATGATCTAGATTATAAAAAATTTCTCTCGACGATGGTGGTAGTTCATGAAATTTGTGCACGCGTTCAAAATGGCTTTAGAGCCCGTTTACAAAGTATTGCTGTTCCAGATACAAAAATGAACCTTGCGATTTCCATGATCCTTTATCGGCAGGGTTTTATTTCTTCTGTACAACGTGGTAATCACCTTGAACCAGATAAAAATGTTGTCAAAACTCAACCACACAATATTGCAAGTCGAAGGTTATGGCTTGACCTTAAATATCGAGACAATAAACCAGTTTTACAAAATATGTCTTGCGTTAGCAAGAGTTCAAAAAGAGTATATATGAACGTTGAAGAGCTTAAAAATCTGACCACTGGAAAGAGGGCTAAATTTATTCCACCTTTAAAGCTCGGTGAAATTGCTATCATTGGGACATCTCGTGGTGTCTTGGAAATTAAAGAAGCTATTGAGCAAAATCATGGTGGAGAAGTACTTTGTAGGGTTATCTAATTTATCTTTAAGAATCATCAAAAATTCATCGTCAACATAAATCGTAAATTTAAGAGTGCTGTAAACAAAAGGAGAGCATTATAAATTATAAAACTATTAATTAATTTAATTCGATTATCTTTTACCAGGATTCCAATATTATTTAATATATTCATTATATTGCCAATAAATTTCATTATGGGAATATTAGAAGTAATATAACAACATAACAAAAACCTAATAGACAAATAATTTTTGATTTTATTAAGGAGCTATTGAGTTGCAATAACCTTCAGTAAAGAAACATCATCAAATGTCGCATCATTCTCTAGAGGAAATCATAAAAGAAACAAATTATTGGTTTAATTCTAAATTCCCTGTTACGATTGATGTTACGCTTTCATGTAACTTCCCTTGTAGAAGCAGCAGTAACTTAATAGGCCCATCTTCTGTAATCTGGTTTGGACTTAGAATACGGAGGCAATTTGAAAGTACTTGCTAGTTATTACTTATATAACTAATGATTAAATCATAAAATTATCAGCTATTCCTATATTAATAATAATAGTAATTTACTTACTGTTAAAAAATAGTTTTGGAATTCTATTACCAACTTTTCAAAGGTAATTCCTTTTGAATTTAAACGAAAATCGGACTCACAGAAATCTGTGCATAATTTCGAAATTTTGGTTAAATGGCTGGGAAGATTAAACAAAGTTATTTGGCAGTTATGGAACTCAGTTATTAATTTCATAAATTAAAAAGTTGCTTTTTAATAGAATTTGATTGTACCATAATTTTTAATGCTATGGATAAGATTAATCTTTGAATTCAAAAAATAATTAAACATCATCTCGCTTATGACCTTAGAATAAATATTTTTGGATTTCATAGTCTTATTGCAAATCTTAATAATAAATTCTTAAATTTATAAATCAGAATTCTTGCTTATTTACAATGAATACGGAAATTTAAATCAATAATTTTTTTAAATTTGCAATGTCTAAGTACTTTATTAAAATTGAATATTAGCTTATTACCCTTATTATATATAATTATCTGGTTGCAGATCTTAAGTTCCATTTTTTAGTAGGAATCGTAGGAACAGAAGGAGCCTCCCCACTACCAGAATGCTCTGCTGGGCTTTCGCTTGTGGAGCTAGATGGATGGTCGCATTCCGCACATCGCCAAACATATCCTCCTGTGGGCATTGTACGTCTAGGAGGAACCATGCAAGCCAAATGGTACCATTTGCTGCAGTATCCGCAGCGTACCATTCGGTTAACTTTGTCTCTTCCTTTGAGCAACATTGACTCTCTTGCACGTTGTGGAGTAATGTAAGTCGCCGAAGGTTGATCATTGGCCGGTGGTATTACGAGTCTACAGATTGTACAAGTTGGCTGAGGTATAGGTGCTCGAAACTGTGCGGCTTCTTCCTCCGTGAGCTTGGCTTTTGGTTTACGTCCAGCTTTCTTCTTTATTCCGCCAACTCGTTTTCTTTTAGGTTTTGTCGCTGTGCTTTGTTCAGACATTAGTTCTTCAGAATTTGCAGTATCTTGAACTGGTTCATCGTTCGTACTTTCATCTTGTGCATTAACCGTCTCAACGTTTTGAGTATCATTCTCTTTTGATAATTCGGAAGATGTTTCTGCAACTGCGCTGTCATCTTGAGCAGTAGCAGTTGTATTTGTATTAGGATAAGGACTCGGACCAGTGAAACTAAGGAAATTTACGCTTCCTGTTTGATAAGGGGAAGCGACTCCCTCAGTTGTGTTGGTACATACTTTTCCATTATCATAGAATGTTGTTGTTACTGCAGCTTTATCAGGAATTTGAGATTTATTCTGCGAAGGCTCTGTCGTTGACTCATTTTTGACTTCATTATTATTATTTTTTTGTACACTAAACGAAGTAGTTTTCGGAGATTCAACCATTTCAGCTGCTGAAAGAAGTACACCTAATCCACCTAAATTAGAAGCATTAATAGCTGGTACTGAACCAGTGTTTGTCAAATTCGTAAATGTGGTACTAGTTCTATTTTCGTTAACGTTTGAATAAGAATTTGTAAACATAGTTGGATTATTTTGGTTTATTTGTGCATAGGAACTTGCCACAAAAGTACTTGTACCACCTTGATTAGTCACTGAACCAAAAGTTCTTGTATAAGTGGTAGCATTTCCTTGGTTAAGGGTAGTATAAGGATACCTAGTACTCCCTTGACTGGCAGCATTATAAGAGCCTTGGAAAGTGCTTGCTCCACTCTCACTCAACGGAGCTCTAAATGGCGTTTGATTGGAACTTGATTCTGCCAAAAAGTAGCTTCTCTGGAATGAAGTCGTAATAGGGGCAGTAATACTGCTATATCCAATATTTGTGTTTGGTACATTATTGTTTGAAGGGGTTGATGTTTGGTACAAATTTCCATTACCATTACCATTGAAGTAACTTTGATTTGTGGTACTTGCGTTGACCGTATAATGAAGAAAAGAATCATAAACAGTTGAAGTACTTGAAGGAGTGTCTTCAATAGGGTTGAGTAAGGTGCTGATACCAATAACTCCTCCGCTTCTTATATTAGAAGAATCTTCATCATTATTTTCGGCTTTGTTGACTTTGCCTTGAGAACTTTGATCAAACGTCGCAGTATTAACGTCTGAAACATCGCCATGTGTTGAAGTAGTAGTTGCAACGTCTTTAGGCGTATATTCTCCATCTTCTGTATCATTATTTTCGGGGATATTCGTCGCATCATTCTTTGGTTTGCTGAGAACCACCGGAAAAGTGGACCCTTCACTTTTCTCTTCAACATTAAGAACGTTAGTGATTTCGCTTGTCTTTGGTGCGATAGGGCGAAGTTTTGCCTTAGTATGAACTTTAGATTCACTTGTATTTTTAGTTTTATTCTTAGTGCTTGTTCTTTTAGAAGATTTCTTAGATGAGGTTGTGTTCGCATCATTAGTTTTAGAAACATCATCAGCGGTTTCGTTGGATTTTGTGCTCCTTTTGACTTTCTTGGTTGATCTTTTTGCTCTCGCAGATGTTGAGGACGGACTATCATCTTGAATTGTCTCTGACACTTCAACTTGGTTAGTATCCGAACTTGCTGGAGCTTGCTCATTTACTTTCTTTCCTTTATTAACAGATTTTCTCGATTTCTTATATTTTCTCTTTGATGGAGTAGACTGCACGACTTCATCGGCTGGTATCGATGCTGATACTTGATCATTATTATTAGAAACAACTGCCTGCGTCTGTTCATCTACATTAGAAGTACTCTCAGATTGAACAGATTGAACATATTCAACTCGCTTTCTTTTATTTCTTTTAACATTCTTCTTTGATGATATAGACTCGGCTTCAGTCGTATTGGTTGACGTGGTAGAGAGATTTTCCTGGACTCGTTTTCTCTTTGATGAACCAGCTTGAACCTCATTTGTAATATCTGGTAATTGATCTTGGGAAGGTAGTTCAGCACGCTTCCTCTTTGGTGTTTCTGATTCAATTGCATTTTCTGTTATTTGCTGTGATTCTAGACCAACAATTCTCAGACGTGGAACTTTTCTTAGTTGTTGTGATTTAATAGAATTTTCATTCGATAGATCACTCTTTTGTGAGTCCCCTTCATCTTCGACAGACTTTTCTTTTCCTTTAATGCTTGCTGCCCGAGATCTCGTTGTCCTCTTGGGCGTCTGTTGTCCGTCATAATCTTCACCTTCTGGGATTTCTTCTTGATTTAAAACGATCTTTTCCTTTCCTTTACTTGGTGTCTTTGGCCTGCCCCTGCTCTTTACACCATTTCGCCGCCCTCCCCGTCGAGCTTTTTCTTTTTCTTCCTTGGCTGCTTTTGCTAATGCGCTAACAACACTCTTGAGATTTAAAGACCTCATTTCATTGGTGTTAAGCTGTTTCACTTTTATGGATTTTGCGATCCTTTTTATTTCTTTAGACCACACGATATTGTTCTTGATTGCCATTGATTCCATTAAAGTTTCGATTTTCGTGTAATTTGAACTTTCATCATGAGTCTCGACCTGAATATTCCGCATGTGTGGGACTAGTGATAAAATGGCCTCATTGAATTTTTCTAAATAATTTCTTAAAATAGTATTTTCACCTCTTGCATTAGGGATTTTAGCCTTAAAATCTCTAACATTTTTCTCTGCTTTTTCCTTTGCATCGATAAGACCATTATGTTTGGACGCTTGTTGCACGATTCGTCGCCGTGCATCCGTAATTCGTACCTCACGTTGGGCAGTGTATCCTGCGTACGCATCCTCGAATATTTCCCGAAGATTTTGACCGGGAAATCCACCTTGAAGTTGGGTATTACGTTCATCAGAACGTTTTAAACACTCATCAGCAAGAAAATCGTCTCGCATTCGAATCCACTTTTCGATTTTGTTTTGCCGAGGATGATCATTTGGTCCATGTTGCTTGCAGTACTATTTATAAGAAAATCATGTGTATATATAATTATCATATAGATGATTAACGAAACATAAATGATTAAAAACAAATGATTAAAACTTGCGATAAAATAAGGGTCCGAGATATTTTCCTCGTCAACATACTCGGTGAGACCGTAGGCTACCGCGCACGTTGCATGAACCCAATTTTTACATTGTCCGGCATCACAGTGTATTGCAGCGCCTTCTTCACTGTTGCAAACGTGACATTTCTAAACGAAAGAGAAAAAATACCAAATATATAATAAGTGTTGATAAAATTAAAAACAATATATGTATTTTAAAAATAATACTTACTTTGCCCCAATTCTTAGGGTCAACATTCACAACCTGAATATCTCTCAAGTCTGCAGCCGAGCCGATATGCATGCCCGGCATCCAGAAAGCGCACAAAATATGAACCCAAACCATTGGCTCACCAGCCTCATCAGAGGCCCTTATTTTTCGAAAAGCTCCATTTTTATTAGGGCACAAAACGCAACGCTATTAGGTACAGGCAAATGTTAGTTTGATTTATAAAACAATCTATATCTTTGTAATTACTTACTACTGCATCTGATGGTAGTGCAAGACAACGATCACAGTACCATGGGTCTTCCTTCTTCGGCAGTGTTGTGATCCCATAACATTCTGATATAAATTAAATGAAATTTTCATTATACACAAATCATCATATCTGCGCCACGTTTTTCCGTTATAAACCAAAAGAAAAGTACATACCCTGATGAACAACGACATCACACTCCTTACCGTCGCAATAGACAAGGACATTATCTTTTGTTGCATCTTCATCTAGACATACGCAACAAAGGCCTGGATCCGACCTTTTCTATCAATGACCAAAAAAAGGAAAAGATATTACGTTAATAATTTTTTTTTTGGGAACAGAAACTATAATTCCATCAAAAAAAAATCTCTCCTCTCTCGACAAAAAAAATAAAAAAAATAAAATAAAAAAATCAACCAGTATTGAAACCCTATTAGAAAAATATATATATAATTGGTCAGAAAATTTCAATAATATTTAAATATTCAAATACCCATTTTCGTAGCCATCTAGCTCTTGGTGATTGGTCAGTTTCATTTTCTTCTGAAGAACTTTGTTCTCCTTCTTGACCAGCAACTACTTCTTCTCGGTCACCGTTCACGTTTTCTTCACCTGTATTGTTAAGTGGTGTTGGCGTATTTTCATGATAGCTTGAGTCACTATCATTTTGTTCACTCACAACAGTATTTTGTGAGCTTCCATTGATCTCATGCTCGCTCGATGAAGGACCCATTCCATATTCAAAATCAGGGTCGTGAGCAGCTCTTCTGGTAGTTCTTCGTCCTCGCTGAGATGCCATGTACGCTTATTTGGTTTTATTGAATTGTAAATATAGCTGTTGAATATAACAAGTGAAGGCTTTAAAAAAGATTTTATAGAAAAATTTTTTTTTTTTTTTTTTTTTTT